TTTTTCTCTTCCATGTTTTATACTTTATAGGAGGGGTTAGCAGCTCTGGTTGATCTTACCTCTCGTTGTTCTTTAGGTTCCCCATTGCCTCCTACAGCTCCTTGTTCTTTTTTAATCACTTCAAGGCACTCCTCTTGTAGTTTGAGTATTGCTTCTTGTCTTTCCCTCTCATCTTCCTTATCTCTGAAATATTCTGCATAAAATAATTCTGCTTTCTCAATTGAATCAATTCTATGTCTTTGCTCTTGCCATGTAAACTGAAGGCCTTCTGGTATTAGCCATCTGTAGTTCACACCTTTCTTCAAAAGAATTTTGGTCAGGAATTGATATTCTCTTCTCATCTCTCTTATTTTTCTAGGTACTTGTTTCAAGACCATAATCTCCTTGCCTTTATATTTCAGTGTTTTCTCTCTTGCTATCTGTAATAATTGCATTTTAATGGCCCTCTTCGTAAATCTTATATGTACTTCTCTTGGTAGATTATTTCTCACTGCATATCTTGTAAAGACTCAAAAAATTTCATCTACTCCATCCATCATTTTCTCTTTAGTTATTTCCAGTGCTTCTGCCAGAATTTCTATCATTATTTCTGCCAAAATTTCTCCCTTTTCTTCCTCTATATTTTGAAATCTAAGATAGAATTCAGATCTATCTCCCATCTCAGCATACTCTTGTCCTGTTCAGTCACGTTCAATCTGTTGTCAATATTGCCAATCTTCTTATCTCTTTGTTCCTCTCTTTCTTCAATGTTTTGGATTCTTTCTTCATACTTCATCATCATCTGGTGGATATTCTCAACTTTATCATCTGTTTTTTCTGTTCTTAACTTTATATCTTGAACTCCTTGCCAAATCATCTGTAAGATCACCTCTTTCTCTTTTTCCTGCTGTGACATCGCCGTTGTTAATCGTTGTCCTCCAGATGTCAAAGAAGCTGTAGTTGGTATTGAAGAACCAGTAATTGATGGTCTTCTACTCATTTTTACAAGGCAGAAGCAAAGAGAAAGAAAAATCTTCAGGTTCTTGTACACCCCTCCAATTAAATCCAATTGATTAAAAAGAAAACCATAAAAAAGCAAAAATTATAATAAGAAAAAATAAAAGAAGAAGATCTTCAGGTTCAATACCTTAATCCAAGTAATCAATATGGAAAAAGCCAAACAATATCATAAAAATAGCATTCCAAATCCCCCCAAAAGAGAAGGAAAATAAAGGAAAATAAAGAAAAATAAAAATAAGTAGATCAATATACTTTGAGGTAAAAAGGAATCCAAAGAGAGAAAGAAAAAAGAAAAAGCAAAGTACTGAGGATTAAAAAATTAAAGATTAAAAATTAAAAAGGAAAAACCATTTAACAGGCCACTGTCACAGATGTCAGCAAAAAAAAAATAGATTATTAAGGGGGGAAGATAAAAAAAACAAGTAAAAAAACAAGCCACACACTGCCACAGTATAGTGTCCAAGGCTCTCTTGCTAAGTTAAATTCCAAAAAAGCTTTAAAATTTTCTTCTCAAGATCCTCTCAATCTTCTTTTTTTACTTCTTGCTTTCTCTCGCTATCCAAAAGCAACCACAGATAGTAACCCAGAAGAGCACCTGTAATAACATTCTTCCATGCTCATCCCACTATCTTCACAAACTGGCTCATTGTCCTTGACAACAGTTCTTGTTATTGTCAGGCTTATCAAGCCACAAAGAAGAAAGAAAGAAACAGTGTTTCCAAACCACTAGATGGCAGTGTTACTTATTGTCTCTACTTTCACTTCCCCCCTTGTATCCAAAAGGAAAAAAAAATTAAAAATGGCTAACAAATAAGCAGTTAAACTAAAATGCTTTTAGATATTTAAAAGAAGCACTAGAAAAAAGAAAAAAGTTTTAAACAACAACAACAAAAACAACAACAACAAAAAGTAAAGGAATCATTGGATGTAAAATTCAAGAAAAAGACCAGTCAATTTTAAAATTTTAAGGCGTTTGTAGAAAAGTCCAGCAATAAAAAATATTACACTAATCTTGACTGCAGGTTTAATCTCACCACTTTCCCTCTTCTGTCTTCACTTTAAACTTTTTCTCTTCCCTTCTCAGGGTGTTCTCTCAGATAGTAGTATTTTAAAAAAATCATCTCACCAGATCGACATACTTTCACTTTCCACTTTCCTCTTCTGGAGCTGTCCCAGCTTCAGTGGCTTCAATGGCCACCTCTCTGCCACCAGAAAAAAGGGCTTCTCCTGGATCAACCAGGGACTTTGCAATGTCCCTGAGATCAACAGGATGTGCCCTTCTCTATTACCGTCTCTACGGGACGGTTTAGGTCCGTGAGGACTGTCCAGCAGCCGAGGTATCGACAGCGAACTTAGAGCATTAAGATCACACATCGTACTGCCGCAACACCAGCTCCTCCCTCCACCCCTCCCCACTTCTATTTAACAAGCTTCATCTGTGCTCCTCCTTCAGCTGCCTTTTCTAAGGACAGAGCAGTACTTTGCAAAACGCTTAATTTTTCTTGACTGACTGGAGGTGGAGTTGATCATTCTGCTGAGGTTTTGGTAATTGCACCCACCCACCCATCCCCTCCCCTTAAGATAGGAAACAAGCAAGCTTTCTCATTGCCAGTGTTGGTCTCCTTTTATTGTGGTGATTCTTGTTAACACTTCCTGAGCAACGTTTCTCCAGTTCTTGTTCAAGATAAATTGCAAGCAGCAGCTTTTTGCTCCATCCTCCACCCAGACTGAGGCTTTCTTTGCTTTCCCACTTGCTCTGAATAGTTTTCCTATTCTCCATTTGTTAACAAGTGAAGCAGTAGCTTTGCACATCTGATTTGATCCACGGGAAAGAATAAAAGTTGATTTGTTTCTGCGGTAACATCCAAGTTTAAAAGATTAGTATCCCTTTTGCCATTCACTTAAGTAAGGAATGGATAAAACTTATAATGGATTCTTTCTTTTTCCCCTCCTGTCAGCTTTGGAAGCCATACTGAGATTCGATGCTTCCACACTGCCACAAGCCTGAGAAAGTGGGAGGGGGATGGATTCAATTGAGTAGCTCTAAGTAGAAAAAATAAAATTCTTTTGCTAGTTCAAGGTCATTGAGTATGGGGCAGGATGAAATAAGGATCTTACTTTTGGATGGATCGTGGTTTGGCCATGTGATGTGATGATGGCCAAGGGGAGATGGATTTGTAGTTTGGAAAATTGTAGAAGCTTTCAGATTTGGGATTCCACAGATGTGCCAGTTTACTATCCTAATAAAAGTACTTTTGAGCAATGTTTGTCTTGGAATTATTGATTGGCATGGAGATTTGCTGGAATGATGACATTATCCCAAATCTCTAAATGAACTCCAGCACCCCCAAGAGAAGCTGATGAAGAAGACAACCCCATGGTGAGTGCTGCCATCCCCCCCCTTTACAGTCAAAGTGTAGTTGGTGGTGCCTGACACGGAAGAGGCAGGGGAGATAGAAGCCATAATAGATACCAGGTGTTCCAGATGCCTTATTGGCCTCCCCATCGATGAACAATTAGGAATAAAGACTAAAACCCTGAAATGCCCAATCAGGTTTGAACAAGTATATGGGACTTTAATTGGGAGAGTCCTAGCCACCCAAATGACAGAGTTAATCAAACTAGAGATGGGCAGACACCGTGAACTCATACGTTTTGTAGTGCCTCCAAAAATGTCAGAATCTGTCATATTGGGACTTACTTGGCTGGATAAATGGGCCCTACCATCAAGTGGGAAGACGGATACTGAAAAATCATAATTGGGGTTGGCCCACTGCCCACTTCCTCCCACAAAGAAACTGCCACCCAACAGGGATTCACAACCAGAAGCAGCAGCCACCGCTTCAGACTCTCCTCCAGGTGCACCCCAAGTCCCCAAACAATACAGGGACTTGGCTGAGGTGTTCAGTAAAGAGGAATGCAATGTTTTACCCCCCTCCCCCATCGAGCCACTGATTGTACTATAGAGTTAGAACCAGGGGCAAAACTGCCAAAACCAAAGATGTATTCCATGACACTAGCTGAAATGACTGAATTGAGAAAATAAATCAATAACAATTTGGACAGAGGGTCCATTGAACCTGCCAAATCTAGGTTGGCAGCCCCAGTACTGTTTAAAGAAAAAAAAGATGGCAGCTTAAGATTATGTGTTGATTTTAGGGGCCTGATTGTGGTGTACATAAAAAACATGTACCCCTCCCCCTCACGAAGGACTTATTAAATCACCTATTTAAAGGCAAGGTCTTTACCAAGCTAGATCGAAGAGAAGCTTACTGCTAAGTCCGCATAAAGGAGGGAGACAAATGGAAAACTGCCTTCAACTGCTCTCTGGGTAGTTTCCAGTTCCGAGTCATGCCTTTTGGACTCCAGGGCCCCCCCTCCTCATGGTACTTATGCTCATCAATGAAGTGTTACATCCACACCTATACAAAGCATCTACCTGAATGACATTCTTATATTCAGTGAAACCATCAAAGAACATGTCAAATTGGTCAGACAAGTACTGAAAAAACTTTTAGCTGCCAAGTTATATGTAAAGCTGTCAAAAAGTGAATCCCATAAAGAGTCACAGGATTACCTGGGCTACAGAGTGTCTAACTAGGGGATTGAGGTGGACCCTGGAAAAGTGAAAGTGGGGCTAGACTGGCAACCACCCCAAACACATAAACAACTTCAAAGCATTTTGGGTTTTGCAAATTTCTATGGACAATTTATTCCTTCATTTGCTGAAGTTGACCTCCCTTTAACAGAGTTATTGAAAACTGGGCCTTCCTTGACCAAACCAAAACCCAATCAACCCTTTCCTTGGACAATGGACTGTCAGAAATCTTTCAAAACTTTAAAACACCTATTTGCCTCTGAGCCCATCCTCCAGCACCCAGACACGACCAAAGCTTTTATAGTCCAAGCTGGTGCTAGTGATGTGGCTGTTGCAGCGATTCTTCTCCAGAACTCTCAAGACCAGCTAATGCCTTGCGCTTATGTGTCCAAAAAGTTGACAGACACAGAGCATAGGTGGACGGTTTGGGAAAAAGAGACTTTACTATCTTGGAGGCATTTCCTGGAAGGAGTGAAGGAGTCTTTTGAGGTGTGGACTGATCACAAGAACCTCGAGGCTCTAAAGACACCTTGAAAGCTATCACCTAAACAAGTCCGTGGGCTCAATACTTCAAGAGATTCAACTTTAACATGAAATATATCCCGAGGGGGGAATACATATTGGCGGATGCCCTGTCAAGAAAACCCCAATTTGACAGTCGCTGGGAGGAGGTAGTGCAAACTATGATATCAGAAGCCCAACCCGCAGGCCAAGTAACCACCCGAGCCCAAGCCCCAGATGCCTAGAAGACAAACAGACAACCGAGTTGAAAGCAGCCCTTTTAACCGATCCATGGTTTATTGAACTTCAAACTAATTTGATAATGAATGAAGGATTGGCTTGGAAAGGAACCAAAATTTATGTACTCAATACTCTAAGACTGATGGTGCTGAAACATAGCCATAACTGGTTGGGGGGACACTTTGGGTTCTTAAAAACCCTGCATTTAGTCAGGAGACAGTTCTGGTGGCCAAAAATGAAACCTGATGTCGAGGACTATGTGTAAAGCTGCTTAATTTGTGCCACGATGAAACAGAGAACTAGACAAACCCCTGGCCTCCTTCAACAAGTAGCTGAACCAATGAAGCCATGGGAAGAAATCATGATGGACTTTATCATAGAGTTACTTGAGAGTTGAGGAAATACTGCGATTTGGACTGTTGTCGACTTATTTTCTAAGCAAGCCCACTGTACAGCATGTAACGGACTACCTTCAGCTAAGAAACTTGTGAAACTGTTCATGAAGCATATCTATAGGCTCCTTGGAGTACCTCATAGAATAATCTCAGACTGAGGTGTACAGTTTACTGCTAAGTTTTGGAGGGAGTTTTTGAAGTCCATTGGGTCGTCCCAAGGGCTTTCCTCAGCATTCCATCTTGCGTGCAATGGGGCAGTGGAGAGAGCGAATGCCATGGTGGAACAGTATATTAGATGCTATGTAAATTATCAATAGGAGAACTGGGCGGAACTGTTGCCATTTGCAAGTTGCTTACAATAATGCAGTACACAGCAGCACAGGCTTGACTCCGTTCCAAATCAACACCGGCATGGAATTTGTCCCTATGCTGGAATTACCTAGGGAACCCCCAACATCCATGTCTTTAATGGAGTGGATGGACTCATTAAAGAAAGGTTGGGAGGATACGAAAAAAGCTTTTTTTTTTTTTTAAGCAAGTTTTATTAATTTCAAAAAACAAACAAATCATCATCAACCATTACATATTTGAACCTTTTTCCATTATAGATTTAACAAGTCAGATAAAACCTTATCTTATACAATACATTTCTATATTATTTCATCTATTTCTTTCTGACTTGATTATCATCACTCTCTTTCTATGTTTCTACAAGGTTTCACCAATACTCTCAAAGACATAAACAGACACAAACATACATATAAAAAATCTTTTAGTAAAGTAACTTGGCCCCAGGTACCTCTCTTTATATGGGCTTTAATTATATTCATGCTCATCTTACAGATCATTACTTATTTTATTTACCATTCTGTATCTTCTATATAAACTTCTCCACACATTTCACTCTTCATAATTCTATCTTATTCAATCCCTTAATTTAAATCATTATATTTGTATCTTTTGCCCATCCTTTATTATCCCTCTATCTCATTCCTTATAATGAAAAAAAAAAAAGGAATTTCTCCTGAAATCACTAATCAGAGTATGATGCCTTTCTATCCTCTCCCTAAATTAATTAGATTAACATTTAAAATAACACCTAATACCCAATTTGATTCTGCTTGGTACATTCTATCTACTAATTTTTACTTTTAGTAACAATAAAAACAGTAAAAAATCAAAAATGTTTAAATACATAATATCCTCCTAAATACGTAGTTAAATAATAAATCTAAATAATAAATCTTATAGCATTCTCATTGCCTTTCCCTTCAATATTTTATTACATTTTAAAAATCAATCATTATTAAACATTTCAACATTTTAATTTCTTATTAACTCTTAAGCCATTCTAATTTTCTATTTCTAATACAAATGTTGCAATACCATCTTGTGTACCTTGCAGAATCTTTTTTAAAAAAAATTTATGCTTTACCCATTATCCCTAAAAAGGATTCCTCTTTTCCCATCTAATTTTAAGACTTTGTGGCTTTTCTCCGCCTTTCCCCTTTCTTTCTTCCCCCACCAAATCTTCCTACCCCCCTTCTTCTAACCTCTGTCTTGCCAGCATCCCTTCTCTGTTGTATTCCCTTTTTCTCTTGTTTGCTATCATTGTATTTATTTTGCATCATATTTTTCTCTTTCTTAAATGTTTTTTTAGATCTTAAATCCTTCATTTTCCTCGCTTTCTTCCTTCCTTCTTTCTTAGATGAATTTTGGGATTCATTGAAGATGGCGTCTTCATCTTCCTCTTGTTGTTCTTCAGCTTCCATCTGTATTGTCTGTTCATAGTTAACCAACGCCATTTCTAAAAAAAGAAAAGCTTTTTCCATACCATCCTTACAGGCTGCTTTTGTTTGCTCATATTCATCCCTCAGTTCCTCAAAAGAAAAAGCCATTGTAGATCTTTTCTTTTCTTTTTCCCTCTTCTCACACCAACCAAAATATTCCAAAAGAAAAATAAGACAATCCCAAAGTCAACAATCCTCAATCAATCCAAGCCAAGCCAAAATTCCCCCTTTCTCTTCCAGGGGTAGTATCAGACAAAGGAAAAAAGAAAATTCAAATCTGTGTTTTGAAGCCTTATTAAGATTTTATTTCTATTTTCAAATCCTTAAGGCATCTCCTCCAAGAAAATCCAACCAGATAAATATATCTTTTTTGTCCTCTCCCTTCTGACTTATCCCAAAAAGCTAGTTTTACCTGAAAAAAAAACAGGTTTCTCAATATCCATTTATTAATTCCGTCGGGGGGGAGAGTAAACTTTCCTTTCAGCACCTCAGAATTGCCGCTTATTTTCTCTTGTGGAAAGAATCATCCAAAAAGCCATCATTTTCAGGAATTAAATTAAATATATCTTAGAGTCCCGGGTCGACCAAGAAGACTTTCACTTTTAAAAACTTTCTCCTCTTCCTCCAGCGCATACTTGCCCAGCTGCCAGCTTCTTTGTGGCGGCCATTACGGACCGCCGCTGCACCGTCTTGGTAAAAGGAGGTTCTGCCGGCTAGGGAGGGGGTCTGCAGCACCCCCAAACCCTTTCCCGGATCCCCCCTACCTTCAGCTGCCCCTGCAGGGCAGCCTTGCTCCGCACCCTTTCGGATCGGAACCCCAAAAACGGCTAGCGCGGCAGGGATCGCGCAGTTTCGCGAATCCCTACCGCTCGCAAAGCCGACAAACCGGAAAAATCATACGAAAAAAGCTTTAACTGAAGCTGTTGAGGAATATAAAAAACAAGCAGACAAACATAGATCCCTCCAACCACCGTTTAAAGTAGGGGACAAAGTGTTTTTGTCAACTAAATATCTCAAGTTGAAACTTCCCAGTAGGAAGTTGGACCCTAAATTCTTAGGTCCATTCCCTATATCTAAGATAATCAATCCAGTGAATCCAATTAAGTCTCCCGCGGCTGTTGGGGAAAATACACCCAGTGTTCCATAGCAGTTTATTGAAACCTGCTGTAGGGTCGAATCTAAGGCCAATACCAGCAGCTGCCCCCAAACCTCTAATCGTACAGGGTGAGACACATTATGACATTTTTTAAAAATCATTGATTCTAGATTACACCAAGGGATATTACAATATTTGGTGTTATGGAAAGGCTACCCTTTGTCACATGCTACTTGGGTAAAAAGTTGGGATATACCTGCAGATAGATTGGTTAACCAATTCCATGACAAATTCCATGACAAACTGAAGGGTCCCCTTGGAGGGGGGAGAGGGGGTTAAGGGCATCGCATTAACCCCTGGTTGTATTTTGTTTATTATCTCTTTCAGGGGGTGATTTTTTTCAAGGGGGGATGCCTGTTAGCTTTGGAAGCCAGCAGGTTAGGGTTAGGGTTAGAAAATGGGAGAGGGTGGATTCAATTGAGTAGCTCTAAGTAGGCAAAATAAAATTCTTTTGTTAGTTCAAGGTCATTGCGTATGGCGCAGGATGAAATAAGGATCTTAACTTTTGGATGGATCATGATAGGGCCATGTGATGTGATGACAGCCAAGGGGGGATGGATTTGTAGTTTGGAAAACTGTAGGAAGCCCAGAAACTTTCAGATTCGGGATTCCACAGATTTACTATCCTAATAAAGGTACTTTTGAGTTATGTTTGTCTTGGAGTTATTGATTGGAATGGAGGTTTGCTGACACCCTCATTTAATTATTTTCCTCCTTCCCTGCTCTAAATTCTTTCCTTCCCTGATTCTAATTCCCATCTCCTTCCTTCCTTCCTCACTCAGGAAGGGATATGGGGAGAGGGAGAGATTGGCAGTGCCCAGAGCCTGACGTCCTGGGTGAAAGGGAAGAGCTCAGAATGCAGTCAGCTTGCAGGGCAAAACGATCCTCAGGGATGCCAAGGTCTGTGCACTTGCCACATCCTGTGTGCATGCCCAGGACTGCCAATCTCTCCCCCTCCCCTCATCCTTTCCTGAGCAGGCAGGCAGGCAGGCAGGCAGGCAGGCAGGCAGGAAGGAAGGAAGGAAGGAAGGAAGGAAGGAAGGAAGGAAGGAAGG